TTTACCTTCGAATAAGTTATACAACATGACGAGCCTGGCAAATAGGCGTTGGAAGATTATAGTTTCCACTCAACAGTGTTATTTCATGTGATTTTTAGGGTCGTGAAGTTACTGGAACAGGGTGGTAGTCAACATGGGTAGTCAACTGGTGATTCACCAGCCGCCAAAGTTAGTTCTACTGGGCCCTGAAGATCGCGCCTCCATGGGAAACCAGAATGAGGTTCAGATCGCCCCAGGTATCTTGGAGGGAACCCAACCTGGGCGACATGCCGTTTCCATCTGGTAGGAATTTGTTGGTCGTTTATTTTTTTGGGGGAAGTATGTTATATAGGGAGCATATGAAATTCAATAGGATAAAATGAGATGAACTGGGATTCCAGGATAATTAACCAACTATTTGTGTGTTTACCAACCATGATTAGATATTATTGAAATTAATAGTATAATATATATATATATGATATATGATCAGCACCAAAATTAATCAATCAGTAAGAGGTACCCTCTGGTTGTTTGACATAGCTATGGAGGCCATGATATGTGAGTAATTGTGAGTATATACGGCATTAGCAGAATGTGCGTACTCACTTAATAAGGGTAAGAGACGCTGGATGTCTCTGTGCAGCTCCGCAAGGGCATCATCTTATCTGTGAGAATAGGTCGACAGAATCGAGATGCACGTCAACAAAGCGCTTGTGGGAGCGCTCGGATAGGCATTGGGTGGAAGGAGGGCGGGCATTGAAAATAACTTGGGATCGGCATTTCCTTTGGGCAACAATATTGTTTGATAATTAATAAATACACCATTAATTACAATACCAACAATTTGATTTTTCATATATTTTAAATTTCCCATTGATAATACAATGATGATAGTGTGGGCAAGAAGGTGGTCATCGTTCAATTGGCGATGCAGAGATGACTGCCGCATTGCAGACCCGTCCTATCATGACGACATCTGGTGACAGTGGTGAAGCTGTTTTTTTGCTGATTAAACAACACATGAATTTCCATAGCTACGTTAAATTATTAGAGGCTATATATTCTGGACCTGAGATTTACAACAATGTAGCTATGGAAAAGCACTGGAACTTTATGGATACAAATGGATGATATCATCTGGAGACCGAATTTGATGGGTGCAAAAAACTTACACAGGTCATTGTTGATAGCCGTGCAGTTTTTAAACATGAATCGTGCGAACTATAAACCTCAACGTTTATTCGCGAATGGACATGGACCCTTTGTTGTTTGACCCCTAATTATCAAGCAATGAATGTCCATCCCATATGACCAGTTTTGTTGGTCGGGCTTGATATGGGGTATTTTTACGTACCGTTAAAAAATTGTTAAAAGAAATCTAGCCATGGCCAAAGCATTTCATTTTTCAAATTGGTAATCCCGTACCGTGAAAAACAAACACATATCTCAAAAACATCGGTGGAAAACCATTGATCTCTCATATCTCTTAGAAGTAATCGAAAGAGGGATTGGATAAAGTACCAATGTGAATCTGGCCAAGAGAGAGTAATATATATATATATATATAGTAAAATCATGTGGTTGGTAGACTCAATTCGTCGCTCCTTGTGTCTTTTCAGGAAGATGGACCCTCCAAAAAAAATAGAAAGGCATATAATTAATTATAATCCATCATTGTTTCTAGCGGGATTTGATGGGATTTGATATCTCAATCTTTTTGCTGATTTCTCTACGACTCTACAACCATAGCTTCGAACAGTTCCCAAACCATCGGTGGAAAGGCACCATTTCTTCAACCGCACGGCTCGGCGCTGAAAGGAACTCTCAGTTTCCTGGGCGACTGCTGTGTTTTGATCTCCTGAAGAATTGATCAGCATAGTACAAGATGGGGGCCCCTAGTTATGTTTGTTGGTTTACAGCCCCATCTATAGATATATCCCCCATCAACACCAGTGATTGTAGCTATCTTGGCCCCACACTGCTTGACCCAATCTGGATGGACCGCTCCTACATGGGGTAGCAATGGAAATTTAACGCCAAATCCTAAGTTGAAAGTCAATACCTTTGAACCTATTTTGAACCATAGCATGGGGACAAAGTGGCTCGCGAAAACATGTTCAGTGCTATAGGCATATTTGCTTGGAGGATCTCGATGCAAAATAACTCTGACCAACCTGTTTTTGGGCCAATGCCCTCAGATCTATATCTCCCCCACAAATCGCATATTCTGCAAGACCATTAGCAGTAAACGTTGGAACCATCACTGTCTAGCAACATTCCACAAAAATGATATATAAACTTGTTTTACATATATATATATATATATGTAATTATATGTTTATATAAAATATAACATAATCATATATATATATATATATATTCGAAACATTTTGTAACTATATACGTGTTGCCTTGTTGAACCATCCAAATAGTTTTGTGCAGGACAACCCGGACACCCCACACCCATCGCGGCCAGATATGCCGTGCATCCTCTGGATGCGGCCCGTGATGCCACCATTTTCCAGCGTTCACGCGATGTTTTTCACAATAGGTTTCCTGGTGGTAACTTCACTTGGACAAGATTGACCCATCACAAAGCAATACCCATGTCTGTGGTTTAAAATCAACATGGGTCCTGGGTGCTAATTTTATCGAAATTTATCCAATTTGGATGGTGTTATGGATGTTGTGGGTCTGAGGATATGCATTTGTTCAGTCAGTCATATCACACCCGTGCATGTGGGATGGCGGTGAACACCCAGAAAATGACCATTTCAATCAGGAAAATGATGCGAACCAAACACCTGCAAGTCTTCAAAAAAATATGTTGTCCCGACCCATGTGCATATGGGCCCGCACATGATTTGGAATGAAAATGGAAAACATGTTTTCTTGGGCAGTTGAATCTTATCGCGAATGGTTTCTGAAAAACACATGCCAGCACAACAAAAGGGGCATTTTATGGATTTTGATTCGAACATTCGGTCATGGAAAACAAAACGTCCCAACACATGCACTGCGCGCTGTTTTTTAAAACCCCCACTGCGTCCAAGGATCAACATCTTTCCAATCGAACAAACCTGAGTTGTCGAACCGAAACACCGGGAATTTACCCATGTGTTTTCATGGCAATTGAACAAAAAACCTTTGGAAACACTGTCGCAAAGAGCAACATGTTTGGTCGTTTTTGTTCCACATACAGTGATTTATGAATGCTGTTGGTTCCCGGATCCTTTCTTCGATGTCCAGGATATGAGCATTGATGGCTGGAAAAGTCCCAACCAATGAAAACTAATCTGTGTCAACCAAGAGGATTGTTCCTAGGTCCTAGGTAAGGATGTAATAATCCAAAAAAACCCAAGAAACTTATCACATTGGTGTGCCTGACAACGGTCGAAACAATGGAACCCCAAAACACAATTGCGTATTATATTTTTCTATTGAAATGTGACATGGATGGAACACAGTCTGCTAGGATAAAGGGTTTTTTGGTGAACAGAACAACGGGCCTTGATGCATCCAAAACACTGAATTCAGGCGATCGAGACAATTCCTGCAAATCCATGAAGTTATTTGTTGGGAAAATGCTGGGGCATTCGCCAAATTCAAAATTCATGCTAAATGTCAGAATAGGATAGAATAGGGACCAGTTGGTTTATTTATGATGGGGCAGTTTTTTCCGGAACGTTTTTCCTATGGTTTTTGTTTGCATGAGAAAGGGGCAAACCCTCCTTGCCATCATGATTGCATCGAAGGCTTTTTATGGAACCAGTGCGTGTGCCATGTGCAATGTGTAGATGAAAGAACAACAAGAAAAATTGAACGAAAAAAAAATGGACAGATCGATCGATAGAGAAACAGAAATATAGATATTTGTTGGTGAAAAAACAAGACGGACGGACTTGCTTACGATCTGCAGTTTTGGTTTATGCCAAGACCTCTAACCTGTGCGACGCTGGGTTTTGCAATTACTTCGATGCTTCTTCTCAAGTTCAGCAGCTCAGCATGTGAATAAAGTTCTTCTTTGCCCCTGTGTTTTTTTGAAGGTACGTCTTTCCCATCCAGCCCGCCCCTCCTCCACTGTGGAGCCGCGGTTGCCGCGCCCCACGTGCGAATGCACGAACGTCTGTTCTGCGCACAGAGGGTGTACCTTAGCAAAATGACATGTTTCTCTCAGCTGCGCTGGATTTAAGTGGGCAGCCGGCGACGACATTTGAAGGACGAAGCTGAAATGAAGCCTTATTATATGATCGGCCTCCCAACACGCTCGTTGCCCCTAGGAATCCCACTCACACAATATGATTGGCCGGCCCAGTCACATCCAATCACATCCTGAACATGGTAAAGCCATTATTGATTGGTGCATAGTCAAGGTTGCGCCACTTGCAAAGCTGTAGCTCAGTCACAACGGTCTTTGTAAAGGTTGCTATACTTTTCTTCGGTGCGGCAATTGATACAGGACTCTGCGGCAAAAGGAATGCAATAGGATAGAAGGACAGCGTCCCGATGATGCCGGAAAGAGGACTGTACTACCAATAATGTCCTTTCCAGAAAACCGTGGCTCTTGTGCAATACCAACCTAAAAATCAAAGATGCATTAGGTGATCTTCGGCAACTATACCAGTCCCTAAGGACACAAACACATACAAGCACCCCTTCGAAACCCTTGTGATTGTTTTGTATTGGACCTCTTTATTTGGGGGTTTCATGTGTTGGGTTGGTTCATTGTCAGGGCGATTCTTACATACTCTGCAAAAAACAAAGCTAGCTCATGGACCCGCATTCATAGCAAACAAACCGCCAGCAATGCCAGTAGTGTAAATCCAACCATACCCAACCAAGGTATTCCCAGTAGCTGGATGGGATTCATTGGAAATGGATGGAAACGAGTGTAACATCAGGTAAATCCCTAGTGGTTTAAACGGATTGATGACTATCCTACATTTATGAGCCTAATCCTAATATCTACATAATATCTACATAATATTATCTAATTAAGAGAATCAAAAGCAACCTCTGCAGCCTCCGGTGTTCCACAACTCTATAGACGTCTATGACGAAGCTTCCCGGAGCCAAAGGCTATGGAATATCCTGGGGATGACGTGGGTGCTCCTTCCCAGTGGTTTGGGCCAACATAACCCCATGTAAGCAAACCATGGCAGTTCAAAATGCTCATGTTCAACAGGTGCATATGGGAAAATTCAATAAAAGTCATGCAAATTATCTATGAGTCATCGTTTCCCAGTCAACCATGGTAGATTCTCGTAGGGTGATACATACATCATGGGCTCAGGCTGATGATATTACCCCACAGAGACCCCATTCGAATCACTACAATATAAAAGGGGGATTCACCTCGACTTGGAACCACCTCTGGCTTCATTGAAGGCTGGTTCCACGTCACCATGGATGTTTCCCAGGAAACACCAATGTGAATGGATGAATCCCAGTTCAAATACCCTGGGGATGGCTATTTGAACTTATTCTTATCTGGGGGGAATAAACATTCATTAACCAGCAATTTTAGGGTACCAAGGGATAGGGTTTTGACCCACCATCTCCGTGTTCAGCCGTGAAAGGCACCTCCCTAAGCTCCGGAAAAAAGTTGCATTGGATGAACCTTTTCCACACGATGCGAAATCGCCAAATTGCAGATAGTTTTGACATGTTTTGACTGCTTTCCCAAACTTGAATTTTGAATTACAATCTTTGATCACTATATCACTGTATTGGCTGATTTCCCATATGTGCGACGGTCAAAACTCAATTCATGTGGTGAGGTCATGGCATCGCTTCACAAGGCCCCCTATCGCTACACACAGTCCCAGCACCCTTTTCACCAACTAGGCAGAATTGCTGCTAGAAGAGGAGGATCCAGATGAGGAATCGGATTCTTATTCCTTTTGCGCTGGTATCTCCAGGGAAATTCAAACTTTTACGTGATCACCAAGGCTGACGTCGACAGCTTCAGCTAGACACCAGCCGGACTCACTGCAGGTCATCTGACCTCGGAGGCTGCCCTTGGCTTGTGTTGGCTTGTCTTGGCTTGTCTTGCCTGTGCTGCCTTGTTTCCGGCGCCTTTTTTTCTTCACCCCGCCTCCTTTGCAACCTAATACCACGCCAAAATGAATCGGCAAAACCCTGACCAAATGAACCCTTTAAGAACTAACCCATTAAGAACTTGAGGGTACCCTTGTTCATACTTCCCATATTTTTCCACCTATAGCACAAGTTGTATAGTTTCAAGTGACCATGTGGGGTACTCCCTAATTTCATGGATTTCAGGTATCGCTCTGGGTATCGAGGGGTATCGCTTCGGGCATCGCTACGGGGACCAGAAAATGTGTGATCTCAGGGGTATGTTTCAAGTGACACGAAATTCTGACAAGCTCCATGTTGCAATTCTACTCCTGGACAGTGGCTTTGGAGAAGCGTCCGTGACCGCACAAGGATGCGTTTTCAACATATCTCAGCACGGTCACTATCTGAATCAACATCATCACCATCACCATCATCATCAGCATCATCACCATCATCAAGCTCATGATGCGTTATGAATTAGTTTCTTGCATACCTTATCGATCAACATACCCCAAAATATCAATGTAACTATCTCATATATACTTGACGACAGGCCATCTTGCAACTACCCAGGAAGACCAGCCAACTGCGACTGCTCCAGTGTCGCACTCTGACATCAAAAGATTGGAAAGTCATGCGCCCAACAGGAAGGTTCAATCATAAACAAAGTCTAAAAAGAGGTATCGCTACACAAGGCCCCCTATCGCTACACACAGTAAATTACATGTTTTGAGTAGTGATGGCGGATCGTAATTGAAGCCTTTCATAGCGTCTTTTGACCATTGCACATATAATGCTTGGGATGATGTCTTTTTTTGGGCAGAACAAAAATGATGCCACCACCCGTATACCGGGTAAGGATCAAACACATCAAAGTCCACAAGGGTTTTATGGGGCTATTTGGGATAGGCCTAGAAACGGACCCCAAAACTGCAAGAAACAATCTGGATAAACGACACCAAGCTCATGACTTCGGCCACCCATTTTTTTGCCTCCCATGCCCTGCAGTGTTCAAAAGCCTGTGTCGTATCTGCTGGTTGGTTGATAGGGATTCCCTGTTCATGGATTGTCATGTATTCAATCATTGATTTTGATGGGGCAGGTACTAAGTGGGACGACCCTCCAAGTTTGAATAGAATGCCCACTAGATTGTCATAATCCAATACTGGTTGGTGGTTTCAACCCCTCTGAAAAATATTAGTCAGTTGGGGATACTATTCCCAATATGGAAAAATAAAAAATGTTCCAAACCACCAACCAGTATTGGATAGATTTGGATAGTATAATTCCCGAACTGATCATCGACCAACACGGGTGCAGCCCAGTGCTCAGGTAGCTCCTTCCGTGGGATTACTGAAGATCCCAACCGCTCCATTCACCCCTCCCTCCTAACCATCATTCGATTCGAAAATCAGGGAAAATCTGCAGCGGAAACCATGTTTTTTTTCCGATGAAACATACAATGTGAGGCCCCCAGGATAGCGTTCAGTTGGTTCACATAACTCCAATTTCACGAACTGGTTTATGGTACGCAAATAACGAACTAGTTACTGGGGCTTATATATATATATATAAACCAACGTTCACATCACTGGGGGGCCTTATAACTAGTAGTTATTTAATGTGGTCTTATTGGAAAAGCACCATTCATAGATGGATTTTCCAGCAAACCATGTTGGGTATCAACGGTGGGTATCAACGGGTTCCCATGGGTTCCCTGTATGAAACCACTGGAGCCACCTGGGTCTAAGCTTGCCACCAACGTGGGCAGTTTCTGGCTGCCTGTGCCCGGCTGTGCCCGGCCCCGGCCCCGGCACCCAGCCATGGGGTTGTCTAAGAAAGATTGCGGGATATCATGTTGAGCCGGAAAATCAAGGTTTAGAGGGACCCTATTTTGGAACGAAGCATGACAAGAACATTTTGAGTGGGATGCGCCCAGGGAAAAACATAGAGAAAAGAGAAGTTTTTGGACATCAGTGATCAAGCTCACAAGCCAAGATGGCACATGAACAAGTTTTTGAATGCACGAACCGGCCAATGAACGAAGAAACGTCATTTGAACCTGTCAACCACATCAGCGAATTTGCATGAAACACAGGCATGCGGGCATAATTACAACGGTTTTTTCTCTAATGGCGGGTGCCACTAGTGCAAACACTTTGTACATACGTTGCAATCGCGACTATCACCACTGCAAAAACAAAACTAAACATGAACCATCACCTTTGATGCTACGATCACCATATTTTGTTGCTTAAAGATCCGCAAGTTTGGTACGAACCAGCAGCTGGCCTTCGTTTTCGCCATCCAGCAGCTCCTGGAGGAGATTGACCATCCAAGGGATCACGTACACCCACGAGGATAAACAACCAACTTATGGATGATATATTAGATGATATGGTAATTGGATATCCGGACGTATAAATATTGATTGAGTGCAGCTGGGTATGATATATATATATATACATACGTTCCAATATGTGTCACCATGACACCATGTACAACCATTTACAGCATCTTGCAACATCTAAACAGCTGGGAAGAGAAGGATCTGACTGCAGTTCAATCCCTTACCAGTTATAAGTCAGTTATTATAAGCACATGAAAATGGAATCATAACACTGTAGCCGATAACCATGGTAAAATAACCACGGAAAATAACCAACACAATTTCAATAACCATGGTTTATCAACTGTTTATCACCCCTAAACCCTAAAACCATCGGACATGATAACAACTATCACCATGGTCATGTTTAAACATAACCATAGACTGACATAGCCATCGACTAATAATAACACTATAAGCCTATAGCCTATAACCATGGAAAGGTAACCATAACCAGTTTTAACAATAAACATAGCCAAATGATCAACCCACAACAGTTGAATAGTTGAATAAACAGTTTATCAAGAACCATAAGGCCCTAAACATCCATGGGTGATCCTGATCCAAGTTGTTACCAGTCATATCAACAGATATACTACATTACACCACTATCTTCCATTGGGTTTTCCACCATTTTCCTCCATGTTTTTCCGAGTTCTTCCATGATTTCCCCACGTCCCCATTGAATTTCCTGGTCCATAAACATAAGATCATAAGAATATGAACAGTTGATGGTTTATAAACCGCATGAATACTATAGTTATAAGTTATAAGTATAATAATACCATAGCTATTGGAATGATGAAAACACCAACTTAGCTATCGAACGGGAGCCTCACATTGTAAGAATATCAACCTGGTTGGTGGTAAGCCTACCCCTCTGAAAAATATGAGTGTGCCAGATTGGATCATCATCCCAGCTATTGGGGAAAAGAAAACTCATGTTCCAAACCACCAACCAGCAACAGTGGTTTATACAGCCCATTAACTATAGTTATAAGTTATTTGCGTATAATAAACCATAGGTATAGTCGGTATAGTTATATTTCCTGATCCATAAGATCACAAGAATTTCAGCTAATATATTCATGATCATTATCCCATTATATCTCCATTCTCTATGACTCTATACCCTCTGGTAAACTAACATAGCTAATTATTGAACATGGCCATAGAAATAGTGGACTTTCCCATTAAAAATGGTGGATCTTTCCATATTTATGTGACAGTTTACCAGAGGGTAAATTATTAGAGGCTATATATTCTGGACTTGAGATTTACATAGATTTACAGCATTTTTTTGCCTATGGAGTTTTCCACTGGACATTTTATGGTGTGTTTCCATACTTTTTTGCTATGTTCACCAGAAAATAAAAACCGTTGAAGCCCCTCCGAACGTCCTGCGGGATAACCCTCAAGGCCGTTTGCAGCGCTCGGGTGAAGGGGGAAATCACCGCCAGCTGGATCTCGTGAAAGACGCCCGCCTCACGCGGAGCTACGGCGGCCCAAAACGCCATGGGAACCTGGGAAATTCTTAAGGAAAACTCGGGGAAAATGGTGGAAAATGGTAGTATATCTGGTATATAATATAACAATGGTAACTATGGAAAATGGTGGAAGACTTTGGAAAATAGTAGTGTGATGTAGTATATCTGGTGATAATGACTGGTATCAACTTCGGGAAATTGGTCATTTTTTCAGATGGGTCAAAGTTAAAAACCCAGAAAAAGCGCAGATGGCTTAGTCTGGCTTTAGTATCAACCATCTATCAGTAAATCTGTGGGTATCAACCATCTAAATCTACCAGAAAAACCAGAAACTGTGGGTATCAACCATCTAAATCTACCAGTAACTGTGGGTAGAAAAACCATCTATCTAACTGTGGGGTTTATGTTTTTTTGAGACATATCCATTTGTGTCCTGAAATTGGAGAAATTGAACCGACCAATGACGCGTTCAAAACATGGGGAATTGCGCTTCGCATCATGACACCGATCAACCCATGAAGGATCGTGCGTTTGTCCAACGGGCGAACTGAAGCAAGAAATCTAAGACTGGTTGGTGGTTTCAACCCCTCTGAAAAATATTAGCCAATGGATGCCAATGGGAAGGATTATCCCATATACTATGGAAAATGAAAAATGTTTGAACCCACTAACCAGATATGAATGGGAGAGAGTGGGATATAACCAACATTGAACAACAATACGATGTATGGGTGAGTCTGAACACGTTGCTTGTGAATGGAATGATGATCAAGTGTGAACACTTGTTGGGTAAACACATGTCAGCCAGGACTTTTATTAGGTACCTGTGGGAAGGATTAAAGGAGTCCACCTTACATGTTACTTATTTTGCATCATTTTGCAGTATATATTCAAATGACACAAAGAACGAACACATATTCTGGTGCTGACCTCATCTTCCAATGCTGTCACGTTGTCACCTTTTCAGATTCACACTAATCCCTACCTGGCCCTGAGCATCTGAATCCTCAGCTTTTGAATCATTCTGTGATGGATCCTGAACAGAACGACTCTCCAGGAGAAGGTTCAGTGCCTCTCTCAGCTTCTCGGCAACTGCAGTGGCTTGTGCCTGCGCTTTGGAAGGGAACCTGTGGGAAACCTCAAAAAACATCCGGGTGTTTAAGTGGCTATTGGTCACCCTGGTACCCTCCTGTTCACGAGTTATGGTTGTTCATCCCCAGCATGTGCTGCTGGAGCTTTCCAATTGTTTTTACTCATCCCCATGTGTCCACAACAATGCTTGTTGTTGGTGTCTGTCCAAAAGAAAACATGTAAACAAAAACACATGGCTTGATATGTTGGTTTCTTAAAATGATGCCTTCCCAAGTCACCACGGGTTTCAATTTTGGATGATTTAGGGGTACACCCATTAGGAAACCTCCATGTTCAGTGGCTTATCAAGGTTTGCGCCTTCAAAATGGAGGCATTGATAATCTGACGTGTGCCATGCTTGACATCGGATGCTTGACACCATGCTGGGTTTAACTCATCAGTATCATGGTCGTATGGGGGAAGGGAAACATGCCTGCTTGCTGGTTTCAGCCCTTTCAAAGTAAGTAGTGAGTATTTGGGACTCTTCGAAAAAGGGATGGAGAGTAAATCATCAAAACATCATCAAAGCAACCCGCCATAACATGGTGGTAAGTCCTCTGTTTCAAGGGTTGTGAAGACGATCCAAAAAAATGGCGGCCAGTTCCCAGAGTGGCTAGCATACCATTCATGGTATGTTTATCAACAGCATCCCTTTGATAAAAATACCTAGCTAACTATGTTTATAAAGGCAAACTAATGTTATACTAGAGACAGTAATATTTATTACGTACGTTGGTATGTTTATATACAGTAATAGTTACGAACCAACCTAGCTAACTATGTAGCAGCACCTTGATCCTTTCTCGCCCTCTGGAGATACTCCAAACTCAAACCGGCGATGTTCATGGACCAAATTTCATGGTGAATCCGCGTTGTTTTCCAAAAAACAACACATAAATTGAGGCAAGCTGTTTCCTATCCTAGATCCAGATGATGAATTAGCAACTTGGTGTTCCCATGATGAATTTCTTCAACGAATGGGTTCCCATTCAACCATTGTGGTGAAATCCCCAACATTTGCACCATAACGGTGCTGCGGTACCGCTCCTCCCCGGTCTCGTTGATCTCTGCGTCTTCGCTCACGAGGCTACCTATGCCTGGCCATTTTTTTGTTTTCGAGACTTGTGGTTTTTGAACATACCAACATGGCTAGAAAAAATGAGGAATACCATGCAGTATCTATTGTTGTGCTATGATGTATAATATATAATCATACATATTTATATATATATATATGCATAGATATATATATATATATACGTTTAATATATATATAATATATATATATATATTATATATATATATATACATATCCATTTTGTACAGCCAAAGAGTTAACATATCTTTCCGGTCTGAGAGCAAATATCTTGTAACATCTGCACTGGCTTATGTCATTATAATACCACCTGTTCATCCCCAAGCTTGGCCGTGGAACGTGGAATCTATGGATTTAATACGATTTAATTATCTACAGATCGCTTGGTTCCCTGGCTTATGAAGCATCTAGACCTGGGCATGGAACAAACATGGGGTATTGTGGGCGCTCAATTGGTCATGTTTAATATATTTGTCGATGCAATTTTGGGAATAATAACTTTATCAATGGCTTTAGATTCAAGAGTGAATCGACTGGAAGAAAAGGGTGTTGATCGTGGCCGAACCTGGCAATGATTTACCTAACATTGAAGATTTCACGAATGATTTCCAGGTTAAGTTACGACAAAAGAGATCAAACTAGATCAAGATAGTATAAACATAGTGTGTAAATATATATATATATATATACCATGTAGGAGACTGGATGGGTCAGCACTGGGACCGAAAGAATGTGTCACTTGATCATTGCAGTTTCAAGGTCCCAAACTATTGATTCACACTCATCTTCGATGGGCAAAAACAAGTTTTCCTATATGTATACATACATTGTATGTATACATACATTATACATTGTATGTATACATACATTATACATTATATGTATACATACATTATATGTATACATACACTATATGTATACATACATTATATATATATATATACACATACCTTATATATATATATATGTATACATATAATATATATATATATATGTACGTTGCCTCAAACCCCGAAGCTCGCAAACAGGAATGTTGAGCGGCAACATGACAACTCAATCATGTGAACAAACATTAATGTTGTCGCACTGTAACACTTCCAAAATAGTTTGAAACATTCCATGTGGGGCCCTCTAAGTTGGTTTAAAACTCCAATAACCAGGGTTATGGCACATATAAATAGTAATGTACGTAATATCTCTATAACTTTCATGAAAAGTTTGCCCACAAACATCGCTAGGAGGCACCACCTTTCCAAACCCGGCTTCATCCATGCACAGCGCTTTGTCCAGTATATCCCATGATCTATCATGGTTTATCGTTATTTCACAAGCAAAGTGTCCGGGCTTATGTACTTCAGTTCTTATCAGATTGTCAACATTTTCGCCAAAATTGATGGCAAGTTATGATGTTCGTTTCCCAGTGCTTCCTTCTTTTTTGAGGCTTCCGAATTTTCCTCCATATTTTCCCCCAAAAAATTGAAAGGTACAATGTGAGGCCCCCCAGTTATAGCTTGGTTTATATTCGCCCCAGTAACTAGTTCGTTATTTGCGTACCACAAACCATAGTGAAATTGGAATTATGTTGACCAACTTTTCACGCTATCGTGGCCGGGGGCCTCACATTGTACCCAACCACCTCTCAGCCACCGCACCGGCACCTGCATAGGTGTTGTGTGACCCCATGGCATGACGCATCACCAACGCCCGCACCACGCCGGGAGGACGCGAGGAAAAGAAGGCCTGGATCTCGTCTGAGGCCTGGCGTCCCAGGCAGCCAGGGCAAGGCAGTGGAATCTTTGTTTAACCCAGCTATAAATCATAATGAATCATGATTTTTCTATATATTCCCATATATATATATATATCTAGATATAGATATATAGATATATATCTAGATATAGATATATAGATATATAGATATATAGATATATAGATATATAGATATATAGATATATAGATATATAAATATATATATATATCATAGTGAATCATGATTATCTCTATATTCCCATATATATATATAGATATAGATATATATACTACATATAATTCTATATATATATATATGTATTGGAATTGTTATCTACGTGGTTTATACCTTTGCATTGTAAACCATACTCGTATAACAATCACATATATATATATACTAAACAATAGCTATTGGAATTATCAACCAACTTGGCAACTATAGTCCCCTATGGCATTGAAAAGAATGGGGGGAACATGCCAACCAGGCATGGCAACTTGGAAATTTCGAAGATGATGATTATCCAACGAATCATATCCCCTTAGGCCCTAGTACTATTAAATACGCTCGTGATTGGGCCCAAGAAATAACAGATCCCAAATAAAACCTGGAGTTCTGGGGAAATATTTACTGCTAGGCGGACCGGATCACAATTTATATCTTAGAAACATTGGACTTCGACCGATCTCTAAGTTTGCAAAGTAGATGGTGGAAGATATCTGTAAATTGTTTAATTTTCAGCCCGTCCAACTATAGATATACCGACAATCAAACCAATCGTTAACTTTCCTAAAATAGTTTGTTTTTTAAGTATGCATAAATTCCTTCGCAAAGTTTAGGGCACCACCTTGAAAGCTTTGAAAATAACTGCTGTTGGTTGTTGCCTTTGCGCGATTAAATGGTGATGATCTATCCAAATGAACTCAGTCGTCGATTGCCAAATCGATTTACAGCTAGGAAACTGTGGTTTCTTGTGATTTTGCTTGAAAATCATTGGTTGGGATTTATATAGTTCCCATAGGATCCATGTATGCTATATATGGTATCATTTACCATCAATATACCCCAAATGTTAGCATATATACCATACATGGATCCTATGGGGCTGATAGTTTCTTTGTTTGGGGGGGGCTAAGGGGGCCATAAGCTACGAACAAAGTCCAGCGGGCATGCCTATTGCCCTCGGATTGAACCGAATATGCGGGTGTTCATGCTCATCGAACGTGCGAAATTCCCAATGTGTTTTCTTAAATTATTCTGGACATTCAATGGCGGTAAATTGATGTGTCTTATTGATTTTTATTCCACTGTTTCAGAATCTGCTTGGCTACTATACTCCTCAGCTTATTCTTTTGGATCGCTTACTATCAACTGATCTCTTCAAGATATCAAGGCACACGAAAAAAACCTGCCATAAAAACCTGCCATGAAAACTAGCGGGAAACTCACTTCACACTTGTGGCCCAAAAAAACAGCCTTAACACATCTAAAACGAGATTCTCACTCCTGCAACGTCTGGTTTTTGATCACTGGTCACAGGTCGGTTTTCCAGCCTTTTTTTACCTGGCCTGGCCCGGCTCGGCGTGCCTCCTGGTTGATGAAGTCGCTGAAGAGAGACCAGGACTTGTTGCATCCGCTCAACGTCATGATGCGCAGCCATGACCTGGCATGGGCCGTTTTTTGGGGGCCGGCAGGGCTTGAGAAACGGGTGATGTTCAGCCAGTTGAGTGTTGAACTATATCTGGTTGGTGGTGTACCTACCCCTCTGAAAAATGATGGAGTTCGTCAGTTGGGACGATTATTCCCGATATATGGAAAAATAAAAAATGTTCCAATCCACCAACCAGTATATGTTTGTTGGCGTTGACTGCTGAAGACATGGTTTTGAAGACAACAAAAGATTATATACTTGAAACATACCGGGTTCCCGGTAAGGGATTTCAACTACACTTCAAACATGGGGAAAAGATAGCTTTGAAATCGCATTTGACTGCCCAAGTGAAACATGATTTCACTTGGTTAGTTAAAAAATAACAATTCATTGGCATGTGCTTTGACTACTCAAATTATAGTGGATGAGGTGGCCAGCTGTTGGCAATGCCCCCACTTGACTTGCATGGAGACGATCTAGACACTCCAAAGGACGTGTGACTGATAAAAGCAAGGGTCTAAGCTTCATGCAGTGTCTACTTCATCGCTGATCTTAGATACCCTGCAAAAACATGTTATTTTTTTCAGCAGGTGGTGGGAAAAATGTGGGTATACATTCCCATCTATAACGAAAAACAAACAGTTCAAGTAACCATCCAATTGACACTTTGCGAACTTGAACATGGCCCAGTCGAAATAGTTGGTTTACCATCTTTACCCATTAAAAATGGTGATTTTCCCATCTTTACCCATTAAAAATGGTGGATCTTTCCATAGTTATGATTCGTTTCGTGTCGGAAGTCCTTACATCGCGCCGACTCACCATCATCCAAACGCCCGTGCTGAGCCTCTGTCATGTTGGTAACGCGGATGAACGACGCCAAGATGGTAACACGTCCCCCGGCATCTGGTGTGAAAATTTTGGAAAACAACACCTAAATCCACCGGTTGACCATCATCTTCTCATATGGGGATGGGTCAAAACCCTGGTACCCCTGGTGAACATCAAAATAGCTGGTAAATGGATGTTCATCCCACTAAAAATGTTATTAATAGGTATTGATCCATACCCATATCTTCTCTATTAAAATGGCAGGGCGTATAGCCGATGTCCGAATGAATCCTATCTGTGGTGCCCTGGTGAAACTGCAACTTAGCTACTCAGCTAGTTGCCAAACATAAGGAGGTTTAAGGAGGCTGGAACTTGAAACCACAAAAACGTGCCAGTTCAAACCCTTCGAACAAATTCTGGTCTGGATGTGTGAAGCTCGACTCTGATGTCTCGTTGAAAGCTGCGGGAGGGCCCAGTGACTCAGCATTTGCTCAGTGTAACAAGCTGGTGACCCCCAGTTCTGAGTTGGGTTATCAAAGCCAGTATAATAGTCATAATTACCATGCATATCCATAAATCATTATAAACCCATAAATCATTATAAACCCAAAACATCTTATATACTATGTATTACCCTCTGGTAAACTAACATAACTATGGAACATCACCATTTCAATGGGTAAATCATATAAATTGTCATTTTCAATAGCTATGTTATAGTCACGGGCGGGTAATAAGCAGATTTCCTCCCCTGCCGGCAGACAAGCGGATTGCTCAACTGCCTCACTCGCCGGTAATCTATCTGCTTATTACCCCTAAAAATGTGTAAAATGAAAATCTGCTTATTACTGTTGTCTCCCGACACTGGGCCACTTCTTGAATTGTTTGGTGTATATATATAATTTGGGCTGTGCATAATTTTGCTCAAAATATGCGTATAAAACATGAAGATATTATATATATATATACACATAAGACAACTTTTGGGCTTTCAGCCAGTGGTCCGCTCTCCCCAGATGCCCCAAGCTTTGCACTTCTGCATTTTTTCTCCCTTCACTTCTCGTGTGCGCTGTTTTTTTTGGCTTTCAGCCAGTTGCAGACCCGCCTTGCTAATTAGGCTTATGAGATTTTGTGAGCCGCATCCTGTTTCATGAACCTCATTTAATCCGGAAATGAGGATAAAATCCAGATAAAATGAGGATAAAATGAGGATTTGATGAGGAAATGAGGATAAAATGAGGATTTGATGAGGAAATGGGGAAAAATGAGGATAAAATCAGGATAAAATGAGGATTTGATGAGGAAATGAGGATAAAATGAGGCTAAAATGAAGATAAAATGAGGATTTGATGAGGATTTGATGAGGAAATGAGGACAAAATGAGGATCGAGAATGAGGATAAAATGAGGATTTGATGAGAAAAATGACGATAAAATGAGGATAAAAAGAGGATGTGATGAGGATTTGATAAGGAAATGGGGATAAAATGAGGATTTGATGAGGAAATGAGGATAAAATGAGGATTTGATAAGGAAATGGGGATAAAATGAGGATTTGATGAGGAAATGAGGATAAAATGAGGATTTGATGAGGAAATGCGGATAAAATGAGGATTTGATGAGGAAATGCGGATAAAATGAGGATTTGATGAGGAAATGGGGATAAAATGAGGATAAAATGAGGATAAAAATCCAAGGCAAAATCTGATGTAAATTTAATGAGGTTCCAGAATGAGGATAAAATGATGATAAAATGATGATTTTTTTTTCGATACCTGGCCCGCAGAAAATCTCATAAAATTAGGCCTCAAGATCCTTTCCAAGATCCACAGCCAATGCACCTTCAAGCATTTTGATGCGCTCTGTACAAACAGGACAGGATGGGTGTTTCACACGGTGCTGGCGCCATGACCACAAAAGGCATTCTAATAGCGCAGTAGCGCATGACACCTTTCCTTTGCCCTTCACATGTTCCCCAAAAGTTCGTGCAGTCGATTGTTTTTCCCCGGTGGGGTACCGAATTTGCCATGTACTGGTAGTAAAATGAATTCCAATCCCGCATCCTTTTTCATTCGGGATCTTTGCCAAACCAATTGACGCAAGCATTTTAAATGCAGGGACGTCATCAAATTTTGCGCCTGAAACCTCAACTGAGACCTGATGATCCTCACCTTGTTCGTCAGGTTCATCCTTTTCAGTCCCAACTTCGAAAATTAAACCTGAATCTGTGATTTTCCACATTTCTTCATTGCCAGTTTCACTGGCAACATCATCCAAATCAGCCTCATACTGGCCTCCGGCACCACCAAAAAGGTCAACAGAAGCCTCTTCCGTCGCATCGCCAAACGACACCTGCAAGACGCACAGTGGCTACATGTTGTATACTTTCACTGAGAACAAGCTGTAATAAGCAGATTCCCCAATCTGCTTATTACAGGCACTAATTCAGAGCCCCTACTAGTGCATGAACGATCTATCTATCTATCTATATATATATTATTATGATATTATATGATATAGTTTTCTGAAATCATCGCCATATTACACAGATGCCCTGACTGGGGTTGTGTGAGTGTGTACAAGTGTATAGAATAAATGTATAGAAGTACAGAATTGTTTGCGTAAGCCTGTACATATATATATATATATAGACGTATATGCATATGTACACAACTGTACCCCTATTGGACAGAACTCCGTGCACAATTCTCCCACCTGTAACAAGCAGATGCCCAATCTGCTTATAACAGACCCCTTGTCGGCCTCCACACCAGCTTCAGCAAAGTCAGCAGGGTTCGCGCCGATGATGGCATTCAATCCGTCCTCAGCAGCTTCAAACTCATCCTCAAGCACTGCCACATCACCTGGCTCCTCCATCCCACCAGTTTTCTGGACCTCCTCTGTTGATCCATTTTTCCCAGAAGAAGATGAAGAATTGGAAAACTTGAAGCCCTCCATGAGATTGCTGGATTGGAGCGAAGCAACATCTAGGTGAAGCCGCACTTCCTGAAGCTCTCTGCTAAAGCCAGTGACGGAAACAATCCTAAGCTGCCTCTCTACCACGGGATCAGAGAGGGTCGATAGCTTCATGGAATCCACGCATAGCTGATAAGCCTGGATTTTGTTAGACACCGAAACTTTCAGCTCACCATTGTCATTCTGCACAGTCCTCCTGTAGACTTCCTGCCCAACCTCCTTCCCACTGCCCTTGAGCATCAAAACGATGGAACGCGCACCCTTCCCAGACTGAAGGTCCACGAGCTTCTGGTTCGCATTTTTGGTTTTCACATCGTTTGCACCGAAGGTTTCAACACGATACTCATAAAGAGCCTGGGCGTCTTGAAGAGAGGACTGATATTGAGCCAAACGGGCATTCAAGACAGTCTGCCAGTGTTGTGGAAGACACCTCCATGCAGAATCCTCTTTTTCCCAATCATCTTCTACATCAGAGTCTTCTGTGGCAACCTCAACCTGCCAAATGAACATGGTTCTGTTCACGTCTGGCCGGGAGAAAACCTCATCGATGCCCGCTTCCCATTCGCCATCCTCCACATGTTTTTCGCACTCTTCCATTTCTGACTTGAGACCTTCTGGTGTGACTTCACCGGGAGCGACTTCACACATCTCTTCGATGGATGCCATACCCCTCGACAGCCACGCCCACCTCAAAACGAAGGGTAGATGTAAAAAGCAGATTGGGAAATCTGCTTATTACAGCTATGTCAAACCAGATGAGCAATGGGAGTCCTATATATAGTGTGTCTATATATTATATGTAACCATTCGTATATACATATAGTGTGCCTATAGTGTATATAGGGTATATAGATGCAGGTCAAACCACATGAGCAATGGGATTCTATTTTTATTTCCAACCCCCTGCCTCAGAACCTTCTGCTTCTTAGCCATGCGCTGCCACCCATAGATGCAGGAAAGCACAGAATCTTCATGACTCACAGCTAGGTGCACATTGCCGTTGCTCATCAACACAGGAGTCTCAGTAGCCCTAGACATCAGGCCTGACCTGTAACCCAGACATGTCTCCAGGTATGTGTTCATGTTCTTTCGCAAAAGCGCATGGATGGCATCGCAAGGCTGCCCTCGGGCACTCCACCCGCCGGGTTGCCTCTCGGGCAGCACCACGCGGGTCGTCTTGGAAAAAAGCTCTCCTCAGTAACAGGCAGGCATTGTAAATAGCCCAGACAATATATTGATATATACATATTCAAATATGTGCATACACACGCATATATATATATATATACATATATACACATATAATTATAATATATATTTATAGGTGGGTGTTCCACACACGCATCATCAAAAACTTATCTACATACCAACCAAAAATGCATTTACATAACGAGGTTCGCTGGATGTCGACCCCTTCGGAGGTTGAGTGATGACCTGTGAAGGAGTCACACAGAAGCACACCCCACTCATCTAGGAAACTTTTTGCATACCTTTCAGCCAATCGAGCTCTTCGCCTTTCAAAGGCATCTGCTAGGATCGTCTCAAAGAAAGCCACTACACACTCAGCATTCATGAAGTGGGTGGACCGGCCAGATGACAGAAAGTAGACATCGGGTCCAAAGCGCTTTGCGAGCTCAGCTTGCTTCTCCCCGGGTAGGAATCCTTGAGGCAACACCAGGCATAAGGGCCCCACCTCACCGGATCCCCAAAGGGAGGTGATCATTGTGATGGAATGCCGACTTTGCTCGACAGAATCAACTCTCGCGTCCTTTCCTGTGCAGGGATGGATAGGGCTGGAGTACACACACACACATAAACACCAGGATTAAACCATCAGTTTGTGAGAACACACATTATGTTTGTGTTTGCTGTAGCTGTACTAAGCAGATTAAGGAATCTGCTTATTACAGTCCATATGTAGCCCAACCAGCTTGCAAATTAATTTTGGAAAAAACACGCTCCCCTACTCCCCTGGTGTTCATTTCAGGGGTCGGCGGATACACTTATCCCCTTGTTTTCATGTCGATAACTGGTACTAACAATTCGGGAAGTCCCCCTTATAAGAAAGAAGCTTGGCCATAGTGTTTCCTTTGACCCAGGAAATTATCAATATATATATATATATATCATATTATATATACTGATATATATATATATATATATTTGGTCGACTATATGTACATATTATGTTTGTGTTTGCTGTAGCTGTACTAAGCAGATTAAGGAATCTGCTTATTACAGTCCATATGTAGCCCAACCAGCTTGCAAATTAATTTTGGAAAAAAACACGCTCCCCTACTCCCCTGGTGTTCATTTCAGGGGTCGGCGGATACACTTATCCCCTTGTTTTCATGTCGATAACTGGTACTAACAATTCGGGAAGTCCCCCTTATAAGAAAGAAGCTTGGCCATAGTGTTTCCTTTGACCCAGGAAATTATCAATATATATATATATATATCATATTATATATACTGATATATATATATATATATATTTGGTCGACTATATGTACATATTATGTTTGTGTTTGCTGTAGCTGTACTAAGCAGATTAAGGAATCTGCTTATTACAGTCCATATGTAGCCCAACCAGCTTGCAAATTAATTTTGGAAAAACACACGCTCCCCTACTCCCCTGGTGTTCATTTCAGGGGTCGGCGGATACACTTATCCCCTTGTTTTCATGTCGATAACTGGTACTAACAATTCGGGAAGTCCCCCTTATAAGAAAGAAGCTTGGCCATAGTGTTTCCTTTGACCCAGGAAATTATCAATATATATATATATAATATATATATATATTTAGTCGACTATATGTACATATTATGTTTGTGTTTGCTGTAGCTGTACTAAGCAGATTAAGGAATCTGCTTATTACAGTCCATATGTAGCCCAACCCTCTTGTCAGTAAAAAAAAAGTATATAACTGGATTTCTTACTTTGTCCATTTTCTGCTTACCACCAAAAAACAGCAACTACCCTATTTCCCTCCTGCGATTCTTCTGCGCTTTGCTGTCCACTGAGCAGTACCCTTTTGCATAGCCATAAGCTGATTCCAAAGTGCCCCTCGCTTTCCTTTGAGGGAAACAGAAGCGCAGTCCGTGTCAAGCACGCGTGTCAGCACCTTCTTCGGATTTGACCAACTCTGTTTCCAAACTTGATCAAAGTTCAGGGCCATGTCTAGCCGAACATCATTTTGCAACCTGCAGGGATCTGTCGAGGCAGAGATGACTATATAATTACTATACTGACCAATTATATCAATATTCATGCGCTGGTCCAGACATGAGGAACCCCCCCGACCTACCTACTCGTACTTCCAAGGAAAATGGTGATATACCAGTGGTTTTGAAGGTTCCCCATTGGTGAGAAGCACATTGTAAACCTTACCTCCTGTTATATTTTTTTTTACATGCTTATTGTACATATATATATATATATATGTAAATGCCCCCAAAACCACCCCAGTAGCCTGAGAAATGCCCAAGCTTTTCTTGATTTTACCATACGCTCATCGTCAAACTCCAAGTATGCTCCCAGAGTATTCGGAGTATTTCGTTTCCAACCATAGTGGGATAGCAGACGATTGATCCAACGTTCTGATACTGTGGACTTCACTTCTGGCATGGCTATCCCATGTTGTGCAGCAGCCTCCTGCTGGGCCCTGTTGTAGGCCTCGAGTAGTATCTCTGCCTGTTTTTTCACAGAGTCCACTTTCACACTGCCGGAAGTCAACCGTGTTCCCTCCCCGCAAGTCACTTTTTCAATCATTTCGATGATCTTTCTGGTGACAGCACCTGGAATGTTGGTTCCGCTTTTGAACTTGTCAAGTGACCTAGGTGGCAACCCCATTGGTAGGCGGATCCAGTCTGGTAAGTCTTTGAGTTGCTGATCATGGTTGGACATCTTTTCAAATGGGATCTTTCTCCAATCTTGTTCATCGCACTGAACCATCCAACGCCCCAGCATTCCCGACTTCATCCTCCCTTTCGTGCCCATGAACATCTCAGGAAAAGTAGCCATCACCTTTTTTTCTACACCAGTTTTCAGACCTTCCTCAAGAAATCGATCTGCCTCCCTGATCGCAAGAAGTTTCTTGTAAACAGGAAGACGTGTTCTTCTTGACAGTCCACCCCCTTTTTTCTCCTTGTCCTCTTCATCCTCTTCACCCTCTTCACCCTCATTGTCAACCACTTCCCCCTCCTCAACCCGCTCATCCTCCTGAGCTTCTTCAGGGCAAAGAACGATTTGACTTTGTTGTCCAGGATGATGTTCTTGAACACCGTCTTCCTGCAAAAACAAGTTGTCCCAGCAAACTTGGTGTGTATGTAACGATACCCGCGAGATATATATATATATATAATATATATATATAAGAAAATTGGGAGAGCCCCCAAAAAAAACAAAACACAACATCTGTTTTTTTGTACAACAGTTTCCTTATAGAATTGTTGATTTGTAACATTTTTTGGCTCCAAGAAGGGGGGACCCCATGAGAGGGCAAAAAACATTGACCCTTCTGCATTTCGGAATCTTTGTAGCTTTTTGGGCTCCTATTTCCCCTTAACATAGACCCTGTAGCAGCACCATGTTATTGTTTTTCAGAACAGTATATACAAGGAATTCGGGATCATTGTCATACCTCTGAACTCCCCTTAACATAGACCCCGTTCCAGATTTGTGATATTTTGTTTTTAAAAAAGTAGATACAAGAAAATCGGGGTATCCTGGAAAAAACAAAATACAACTTCCTTTTTTTGTACAAAAGTTTCCTTATAGAATTGTTGATTTGTAATATTTTTTGGCTCCAAGAAGGGGGGACCCCACGAGAGGGCAGAAATCATTGACCCTTCTGCATTTTGGATTCTGTGTAGCTTTTTTGGGCTCCTATTCCCCTTAACATAGACCCTGTAGCAGCACCATGTTATTTGTTTTTCAGAAAAGTGTATACAAGACAATCGGGATCATTGTCATACCTCTGAACTCCCCTTAACATAGACCCCGTTCAAGCACTGTGATATTTTGTGGATATATATATATATATATAGATAGATAGATAGATACATACATACATACATACAGATTTGATCATATTTTCATCCATGGCTATATAACGAGTCTTGCTTGGACCTTGAACTTGACAGCCCGCACAACCTGCTCCTCAAATTCTTTACATATAAAAGCAAAAAACCAAATGTATCTGTTTTTTTTGGTTGAACCTTGTGTAGCCATTTGTGACTGATATATAAGCAGAATCAAAATCTGCTTATCACAGGTAGGACAAAAACAACATATGGATCAACCGGGTCCTCATCTATCACAGAGTCGACAGCCACAATTGAAGAGGAAGCTTGCTCTGAACTGGTATTGGGAGTACTGCCCGGGTCAGTTTCAAAACTCTGAGAGTCTGTTTTTGAGTCTGGCGTGAACAATTTTCGGATTTTGCTTGGTGGTGTGTGTAGCTCCCCTTTCTTCCTTTTCGTTCTCCATTTGGACCCATCAAAAGTGTGACCAGAAGAATCCGCCGCTTCTCGTCTGGCAGCCCGAAGTTTCAGATTGCTTTGGAGACCAAAGACGGAAGCCAACAGTTTTGCAGCAGCCCCCACATCTCTTGGACATTCAGCGCAATTGGCCTTCTGAAGCTCTGTAGATGCCATGGGGAACTTTTTCAACTCATTTTCAAACTCTAGCTTGACAGCGGGGGAAAATGCGCTAAAGTTGCTGATCTGGCCAGTCAACCAGTCACCAAACGCACCCAGTTCATCAGCAATGTTGGTCAGGGTGGCGACAGCTGTGCTAACTTCTCCAGCGTTTGGTACCTGAGCTTTTTCTGCAACCTTCTTCAGGCACCCTTTCTTTTGCAGCAAGGCTCGACGTGCCTCCTCCTCCATCACTTTCAAAGTAGCAAGACGTTCACTGACTACATCACAGTAGTAGAGGGAAGACTTGCCCACCCAGGTAACCGATTCACAGAGTTTTGTCACGTTTGCATCTGTCACTTGGTGATCCTCTATGCTTTCCTCTGGTAGTCGAAAGAAGTGAGAGATTCGATCAGACCCTGTAACAATGGTGACAAATTTTGGAATGCATTCCTTTTGATGTTTGCAAGCCATTTCAAAATCCAGTTGGTGTAGCTCTGCAACCCCACCAGGTTTCACAATGTTGCACCCCACAACCTCATCGGATTTCTCGCTGCGTAGTTCCTCCAATGAACTATCTTTCCAACTCAAGGAGTAGATGTTTTTTTGGGCCTCCCAATCCGGGCACCAACATCCCTTGATGTGAACAACCCCTTCCGAGTCCACAGAGCCCAAGAGGAAGAAGAAGGTCATTTCCTTGGAATTTCAAGAAGTAGCTTCAAAAAGGACCTTAAAAACCCAACCCCTTCAAAAAGTACCTAAAAACAACCCATTTTACTTAGGTAATCTACAGGGAATATATTATGTTTATATATATATATATATCTCTCTCTCTCTCTCTTTCTCTCTCTCTCTCTCTCTTTTTGGGTGTTTCTTAAGCAAATCCAAGATTCTGGTGATCTTTTGAATGCAACATTGTTCATGTGTGCCAGAGCCCCTCCCGAAATCACAACCTCAGCGCGCTTGTCCTTCCTCTTGATCCACTCCAACCTCTTCTGCAATCTTGCTTCTGATGGCTTCAGATGCTCCTGAAGCGTGCGTTTTCGTATTATACATATATACATATATTGTGATAACTCTGCGGTGCATGCAATGCTGTAATAAGCAGATTTGGGGATCTGCTTATTACAGTCTTATTTTTTCTTTTAAACAAATAAAGCAAAACTATGAAATCATATATATATAAGTGTGTGTCTGTATGTAATGTCTATGTAATGTATATAATGTAATGTCATGTCCTGTCAAGTAATGTAATGTAAGTATGTATGTATGCATGCATGCATGCTTGTATGTATTTATGTATACCGTATGGACTCATGTATGTACTGAATCCCCCAATTTGCAGGCAGAAGCAGCACTCGCTCCTTGTGATCCACAAGCTTCACTGATTGACCCTGAAGCAAGTCAGGTTGCGAAAGCTTCAGTGCCTCAGTAGCCTTTGCGGTTTTGGGTCCCTTTTTTTGTTTTTTTTTGGCTGTTCTGCTTTTTTCTTTGCACACGGCCCGGTTTTTTTTGCTCCTTTGGCTTTTGGTTTTGCTGTCTTTGCACTGCCGGGACCCTCTTCAACAACCGGAACATCCTCCTCACCAACCGGGACATCCCCCTCGTTCTCACCAACCGGGGCATCCTCTTTTCCACCTTCCTCACCCTTCGACAACGGTCTGTAAAGGGCCCTCCCAACCGCCCCACGAAGTTTGTTGAATCTCAAGGGTGTCAATTTCTGAACCTTGCTGATTCTGTGGCCTACCATGGGGAAGGAGTAAGGTGGGTTTGTACACTGGTGAGCTTCCATCAATGATTCAAATTCATCACTGTTGCAAATTTCGATCGGGTCCGAGACCATGCACTTTGCATAGATGCAATCCTTGGCAGCAAGGTACATGTGTTCCTTTTCATCAATGAGGGTTTTTCTCAGCTCCAGTGTTTTTTCTCCCTCCAAAATTTTGTCAAGCCATCCTTTCTCAAGCACCAAAATCTTTCCAAGTGGTGGTGGTTCTTCGGAAAGAATGCTTGAGGACACATCAGCTTTGAAGTTCTTTGCAGTTTCTATCTGAACACTTTTGGGAACCTCTTCTTTTTGCGACTGCTTGGAGGTGGTGACTGCTGCTTTTGGAGTAGGCGTCTTTTCGTTTGAGGCTTGTTTTTCAGGCTCGGCGTGCAAGAATTTCATGTAGTAGGCCTCCAACACAACCACTTGCTTGTCTTCTTTTGTCTTTGCCTGGTTGAACTTTTTTCCGCTGCCCCCCCACTCTCCGAGCTTCTCTCTCAATTGCTGAACTGTAAGCGCGGATTGCTCCAGTCTCGCTTCCTTGGCAGGTATCAACTCGATTAAACGTTTCCTCCAGAGGAGGACGGCGGTTGAAACCAAGATGATATACATGTGTATTTATATATATATATATGTGACTGAACCCAAAATAAAGTCAAATGGTATAATTATAATTGCAGTAAATAATGAGGAGCCCTTGTTTCCTATAGGTCGTCTCTTGCAGGAACAATGTGAAAGTTGCATTTTTACGCAAATGTGGATTTCTGTCATCACACGCCCTTGGATCCTAGTGAGCTGTAAGAAGCAGATTTGGGTTTCTGCTTATCACAGCCTGATCGCAGTGCGAGCTTCGAAACTGGAAAGGGGTCTCAAAACAATCTCCGAATACGCCCCAGATATGCGGATACATTTTATTTATTTATATATGCAGTTTAAAGTCAAATATGGTATATATATATAAACTTACTGTGTATGTATATATATATATATATAATGAGGAGCCCTTGTTTCATTGAGGATGATCTCTCTTGCAGGGAAAATTTGAAAGTTGCATTCTTACACAAATGTGGATTTCTACCATCACACGCCCTTGGATCCTAGTGAGCTGTAAGAAGCAGATTTGGGTTTCTGCTTATCACAGCCTGATCGCAGTGCGAGCTTCGAAACTGGAAAGGGGTCTCAAAACAATCTCCGAATACGCCCCAGATATGCGGATACATTTTATTTATTTATGCAGTTTAAAGTCAAATATGGTATATAATTACTGTATATATATATATATATACAGTGAGGAGCCCTTGTTTCATTGAGGATGATCTCTCTTGCAGGGAAAATTTGAAAGTTGCATTCTTACACAAATGTGGATTTCTGTCATCACATGCCCTTGGATCCTAGTGAGCTGTAAGAAGCAGATTTGGGTTTCTGCTTATCACAGCCTGATCGCAGTGCGAGCTTCGAAACTGGAAAGGGGTCTCAAAACAAGCCCGAATACGCCCCAGATATGCGGATACATTATATTTATTCTTGCTTATATATATATGTGTATATACATATTTTTTATTCGTGTATATCTACATATGCATGGGCATTAGTCCTTTAAAAGGTTCCAGATGGAATCTTTTTGATTCAAGGCTCGTGAAGCTGCTTGTGGATTTTGTAGGCGAAGACTTTGTCACCCCCAACTGGAATGTCTAGGTGACCCACCTTGAGAATGTATACCCCGTCCACCACCGATAGACCATCAGGTTCAGAAGGAGGTTCAATGAAGAGCAAATTTTCTGGAGCCTTGTCTCTTATCCGTAGATTTGCAAGGGCTGCAAGCAACACCAACCCCACGTTTTGAAGCTGGTTTCCATTTCCGACTCTGTCATGCCACCCCATATCAAGACTCCACTGGACGGGCGCCCTGATACCAGCCTCCTTTGCCTGAAGTTCAGAGATTGCCAAACCAGAAGCTGCCAGTTTTTCCCGACTTGTTAGCCACCTGAGCTTCTCTCCATGGACAAGTCGCCTGAGCCAGCGGAACCATACAAAAAAAGCAAAGGAATATTCAGATAGATAGATATTTCTAGACACACACATATATATTTTTTTTTGAGTCAATGTTTTGGAATGGCTGAAAGAGAGGACTTGTGAGTCTAGACTGTACAAGGCTGTACATTCTGGTCATATGGACATATGTATATACATACCTTCGAAAACAAGTCAGGTCTGTTTTGTTCACCGCAGAAACCGTTTTACCTCTTGAAATTGACATTTTGATGCTATACCCAATTTTTATTGATACGTCCATGTTGCGAGTTCGCGTCTCTTGTCTCACACGCGCCCGCTGACCCCAGGGATGTGTAATAAGCAGATAATGGATCTGCTTATCACAGTCAAGTTGAACCATGGGAACCCTGCCCAAAATATCTTTCATTCTGGAACCAAAGTATATAAGGATGAAGGCAATTTGAAGGGTTTTTTTGGTGAGGGAAATATTTCTGAGGATTTTGAATGAGGGCTTACTTACTTATACAATCATATTCACATATATATATATACATATACATATATATATGTATAATGTGAACAACACAATGGGAAAACCAACCAATGATTGGTATATCAAATGCTTGCGGTGATGGTAGGTGATCACCCTCCAGGTATTGAAGATTACTATAATTTTGCAGGTAAAACCAGCTGAACAATTTTGCATTCCCAAATTGGAGGGGAATGTATACATATATATATATATATATATTATTATATATATATATATATATATATTATATATATATATATATCCAAGTCGCCTGGTGCCACTCTTGGTCATGCACGGCAGCGAAAAATCACTTCCTCCAACAGCTGTGGGGTGGGTCTCAAAGTTCTGGCTCACCGCAAAGACGGGAGGAGGTTTCTTCTCCCCTTCGAGCTTGTCATGCCTCCCAAATTTTGTGGCAGGTGCAGCCCACCAAGAAGAACAAATGGGGTTGGCCCAAAACTGAGACAGATAAAGAGAGAGAGAGAGGGATATATATATATATAAATAGACTGTTGAAAACATGTTCAAAACTAAACCAACACCGTTCTATGTGACTCACAAAATATAGGGCTATCCCTAACAAAAGACCCCAATTGGGAATTGCTTGTGATTGGGTGTATATATATATATAGAGGTTCATTGATGCCCTTGCACATGAAAAAACACACCAGGCCACCTCTTCATATAACCATCGAAATTCTTCATCTCAAAGTCCGTGAGCAAGGGTCGCCAGTCGGTCAAAGAGCAAGTTGCAGGATCTCCTGGCAATAGAAGCATGATTCTGAGTAGGTTCCTGCCATACTGTAGAATTCATAGAAACATGTAGGCGTGTAAATATACATATATACACATACAATATAGCAAACACCGGAACATATATAGGGTGATATGTCTTCGCTCTCTCTCTCTCTATGTCTGTATAGATATATATACATATATAGATACATACATAGATACATACACACATACATACATACATTCATAAATACATTCATGCATGCATATTGTGTGCATTTGCATGCTTTTTCAAACAACATTTCCAGATCCTTAAGCTCCCCATTTGTTGGGCTGTAATAAGCAGATTGCAAAATCTGCTTATTGCAGTTTGCAAATGTCACGGTTTATTTTGGGATACACACACGGGCACATGTGCACACCTAAGAAACGGAAAGCTTTTCGCCCTTTTGCACTGAATTGCCACCAGTCGAAAACAACTAGATAGAAACACGCTTGGAGTTAGTGCTACACTTGTTGAGCCTTTGTCTAGAAGCTCATTCTTCCTCAACTCCACCATTACCCCGCTGCCTTTTGGCTGCTCGGGCTCTGATCCCGGCAGGTGTTAAATGCTCGGAAATCAGAGTTTTGCAAGCTTTACATTTCACCTGAACTTTAAAATGGTTTGTTCCTCGCAAAGTTAGATGTCGATGTTGGCAGTTGATCCCAAAGTCACACTGCTCCGGGCCCGTGAGGTTGTTCTGGGATGGTGATCTAGGAGTTCCGGGGCCACTCACAACACTCCAGTCAGAGCTACGGTCATCATTATCTGGTTCGGCTGCGTAGAAACCCAGACCACGCTCACAAACATAGGAGATGTCTTCTTCTGACATCATGTAGAATGCCAGGACAACAAAGCATTTCATGGTGAAACTGACAACGCTGGTAAAGGCAACGAACATGAGGGATGCGATGGATAAGAAGCAGGTTGGCTTTTGTGCAGCCATCTCTAACAAGCAATTCTCCTACACACACACAGCGCTGGTTCCTTGAGCAAAACAGGCTCCAATCACCCAATTCAGTAATGACCAGTTGTAGCACATACTGATGGCAAGCAGCTGTAATAAGCAGATATGGAATGTCTGCTTGTTGCAGCCCTAGTTTCAAAAGCTTATTCATTGTCATGTATTTGTTTGGCTTGACTGTCGGTCAACGGTAAATTGTGTCCAAGTGAAAAATCATAGTTCATACTGCGTGAAGAAATCTCACATGAAGACCAGTGAAAGCAAGACATTCGTCCATGTGCGTGTATAAAAACAAACATGTTTGTTCACAATCTTGGCCCATAACATTTGAATTTCTCCCACTGCAGTAGTCAGTCCTTTAGCTGATCCGGATCGGTGCATCTCCAGTCTGAGGGCCGTCTCGTCGGTCTCGAAGTAGAAGTCGTCCACCTGAGTTTACCCATGTTTGTTGTGTTTGGTTGCACATTTGGTGGCCTCCCTCCGCTTCAACCCATGCATGGTTATCTTCAAATATAATATGTATATATCTATATATGGATAAAAAATATATACAAGACTTGCATGTGTATGTCTACAAACATAGCCGTGCATAGACACACGTGTAAATGATTGTGTATGTGTATATAAATATATTATACATATATATATATATTTATATGGCTTTCCCGGCCTGACACTCCGGGAGGTTGGCCCTGATGTTCTTCGCAAACTCCTGATAGGCCTTCTTGATGTCTCCCACAGCTTCCAGCAATGAGGCTTTGTAGAACAGGTCATACCTGGGCTTTGTGGAAACAGGTATATATATATACTGTGTTCGGCATTTGTTCTTTTGGCACGATGGGAACCCTTTTGAGCTGTAATAAGCAGATTGGGTGGATCTGCTTATCACTGCCTTGGAACCAAATGGGCCCACACCCTTTAGGAGTCCTGCTTAGGGGCGCATTTCTAGCTAGCAAGTGGGCCTCGCATCATACTTCCAGGGGTGATATGTATATAATATACATATATATATATATCCGAACTGTTGGTGGTTACACTCAAAATTACACATATCAAAGTATACGGTATGTATGTACTAAATATTTAAATAAATATATATATATATATACATACATATCTGCGGACGCAGCTGTTGGCTGATACACAGGGCCATACGTGTTTGAAATTATATAGAAAACAAGGTACTTGCGAGGCCTTCCCACATGCATACCGACGTCCATCGGCTTGGTGGAAAACGCCACATGCTCATACCCCATCTCTTCTGCGAAGTCTCTCATGGACGTTGTTTCAAAACCTAATACGTTCTCATGGAGCACGATCGGTACACCTTGCTTGAAACAACACACCATGTAGATGCACAAAAGAATGGCGTTCACGGATTCCTCCTTTTCTAATGACCCCAAAGTGCTGTATGCAGTGCATATGGTCCCGCTGGTATCTAGGAACCTCTTCCGGATGCAGCACCTAGGGCCATACAAACAACAAATGTTGCATGGTTGGGTAAGCATATAACGTGGGATACCCAAGAAATTTAGTGCCAAATCATAAGAAGATCAACACAAAATAGGGTGAAACCCTGGGAAATGGAATGATGTAAACATAGATTAGGAAACATCCTTGAAGACATGATGAAAACCACATAACATATAGACACTTCTGAGAACACATGCTACAAACCATGAAAACATAGGAAAATTGTGCACTTCCACTTTGTACCTTGTATATGCAATAAGCAGGTATGCAATAAGCAGATTCAATAATCTGCTTATGACAGCTCATGCAAGATGATGTCTAAGTTCAGGACGCTACTTGAAACCTGCAGATAATCATACTTGTTCATAAGAAAAAGCAAGAAAAACATCCAAAAAACATCAACAAAATGAAAACTGATGAAAAACATCATACACACATCGAAAAAACACTGAAAACTGATAAAAAACATTGCAAACACAATGAAAACTTATGAAGTATATATATATATATACATTGCAAAAACATTGAAAACCCAATGAAAATTGATGAAAAACATTGCAAAAACATTGAAAAATAATGAAATCTGATGAAACACATGGCAAAAACAATGAAAAACAAATGAAAATTGATGAAAAACATTGCAAAAACAATGAAAAACAAATGAAAATTGATGAACAACATTGCAAAAACAATGAAAAACCAATGAAAATTGAGGAAAAACATTGCAAAAACAATGAAAAACACATGAACATTGATGAAAAACATTGCAAAAACAATGAAAAACCAATGCAAATTGAGGAAAAACATTGCAAAAACAATGAAAAACACATGAACATTGATGAAAAACATTGCAAAAACAATGAAAAACCAATGAAAAATGATGAAAAACATTGCAAAAACAATGAAAAACCAATGAAAATTGATGAAAAACATTGCAAAAACAATGAAAAACCTTGCAAAAACAATGAAAAACCAATGAACATTGATGAAAAACACTGCAAAAACAATGAAAAAATAATGAAAAGGTTTGGCCCGAGGACTTCGACCCAACAACGGCTGGCCCGAGGACTTTGACCCAAGGATTTTTTTTCCGCTAACGAAACGATTTTTTTTTTTCATTCGATTTAAATGCAATAGTGTATCACTAAATCAAAAAAATGGAAAAAAAAATATTTTATTTTTTTTTCATTTTTCCATTTTTCATGTTTCCCGTTTGTTCCCCTTTTGTTTCCCCGTTGTGTTTCCCCGTTGTAGTGCCCCGTTGTAGTACCCTGGGTGGATGGGTCCAAGTCCTCGGGCCAGTTGTTGGGTCGAAGTCCTCGGGCCAAACCTTTTCATTATTTTTTCATTGTTTTTGCAATGTTTTTCATCAATTTTCATTTGTTTTTCATTGTTTTTGCAAGGTTTTTCATTGTTTTTGCAATGTTTTTCATCAATTTTCATTATTTTTTCATTGTTTTTGCAGTGTTTTTCATCAATTTTCATTGGTTTTTCATTGTTTTTGCAATGTTTTTCATCAATTTTCATTGGTTTTTCATTGTTTTTGCCATGTGTTTCATCAATTTTCATTGGTTTTCATGGTTTTTGCAATGTTTTTCATCAGTTTTCATTATTTGCTCATTGTTGTTGAATGTTTTTTCATCAACTTTCATTGGTTTTCATTGTTTTTGCAATGTTTTTCATAAAATTTCATTGGTTTGTCATTGTTTTTGCAATGTTTTTCATTAGTTTTCAGTAGTTTTTCAATGGTGTTAGCATTTTGAATTCTACATCATCTTGCATGAGCTGTAATAAGCAGATTCCTGAATCTGCTTACTACATACTAGGACAGGGTGGAAGTGTACAACCTTGCTTTGGCAAACACAACTAAGGGAAGCACTGCTTCAAGTGTCGTGAGCAGAATGCCTTCTTGGCCATCTTGCCCTTTTTTGCTAGCTGAAACCATTTCTTGAATTTCTGAACATTCCCCTTCACACTGATCTTCTTCATTTCTTTCAGGGTCTCAGAATCGATGAACGATTCTACATCTGTGAAGCGACAAGTACCTTCGGCCAACATGTCGAAATGAGAGGCTCTAGCCTTTGCGTTCTTCTCGCACGTCCACACGTTCTCCTAGGATTGCAAGGATCAATCCAAGACCTGGGGTAGACTAGTTTCCCTTTGAAAACCACTTTGGTTTGTGTTTTGGGTCTTGAACTTCGACATAGCTGTAATAAGCAGATGTGCAATCTGCTTATTACAGCTTCCCAAAATCAAATGAATCAATGCTTGTAAACATAGATTTGGGGGGTATTGGTTATTAAATATTACATATGTTATTACTCCATTTCAACTTGTTTTGCCACCAATGATTGGCGGACAAACTAGTAAAGACCTTCCAAAAAAAAGATAAGTGTCAGAGAGAGGTGGGAGTGTGGGATCCATCTCTCGGCGAGCCGCATCGATATACTCTAAAGCCCGCTCAGGATAGCAACATCCCGAAAACATACTGCTACTGGCCAGGGGTGAGTCTGACCAGAGTAATGTGGCCTTATCGATCCCCACATTTTGCAGCACATGCTTCGCCCATCGCTGGGCTTTCAGCAAACACTCCGGGACTTCAGCCATAGCTAACCTGAAAAAGCGTCACAACCCCTGACGCCTGCAAGCCAGCAACTGCGGGGGACGAACAGCATCGCAGTGTTGGAAACAATTGAGCAATGATCAAAACCGTGGCGGTAGTAGAAAGGGATGACTAGGTTTTGAGCACAGCTCAATTGAGTCCTCCCTTTGCACAAACAATTCCCAAGCAGCCAGAAATTTGAAGTTTGGATGATATTCCCAATAAGGACGAAAATGCGCAAACCATTCCCATATTCCGTGTTACCTCTAGAAGGGTTTATATAGAACTCGAGTTTGAATTGTGCAAGCAGCTGTAATAAGCAGATTCCCGATTTCACCAATTCCCACATAATGGGAATCTGCTTATTACAGGTCTGATTTAAGGGTACCCCATTCTAGCAGATCCTTATTTGAGCGTTTTTGATGGTTTTCGGGGTGTGATAAGCAGATGAAAATCTGCTTATTACCCGTCCGCGACTATAAATTACCAGCGGGTATTTGTTTTCTTGATTGATTTTCCAGCTACCTCTAGGTTTTAGACCCTCCAAGTACCTAGACAATTGCAGTATTATACCATATTACACCCATTAGTTTGGGAGGTTTTACCACTTGTTGACCGGATTGGAGTGTTTTTACACCACCTTAGCGAACGAGAAAAGCCTCACTGGTTGACCGGATCAGTTCCGGTATAGGTGACCTTGGCTGATCCATGGCATCGATCCCGCTACAGTATCTGATTGTGATAAAACTATGGTGTATGTTAATTAATATACATATAGTATATTGAATGGTTAATAGTTATATATATCTCATTATGTTAATAGTTATTATTATTGAATGGGATATATATATATATATATAACTATTAACCATTCAATATCCCACAATGAACATATACTGGTAAATAGTAACCATTGATAACCATTTATAATATATATATATATATATATTCTAACTATGATCTATCTAACTATAAAAATCTGGTTGGTGGTGTACCTACCCCTCTGAAAAATATTAGTCACATGGGATTATTGTTCCCAATATATGGAAAAAAAACATGTTCCAAACCACCAACCAGTATAATTATATATATATTCTAACTATGATCTATCTAACTATTTATCTAAACTATCTGTCTAAGTATCTATCAACATATCTATCTCTCAAACTGTTTCTAACTATCTACCTATCTTCAGTTGCCAATTGTTTGAGGTCACCCTATATCCACTCTATTCACTTGGAGAACCATCCAGGACCATCCCAGAAATCGTAACTGCTTAGTAACCTAGTTTATATATGGGAGAACAGACGACATCGCGACGATGCCACAGTGATTCACCAGTTCTGATCCTTGGGATGCCTCTCAAATGTCGGACGTTCCTCTTTTGTTCTTGGCATGCAGTGAATTCGCTCCAAAAAATCGTTGTCGCTCTCATTGTCGTTTGGTCCAACTGTGCTTTCAGCACCAACAACATGGAATTTATAGGGACCCCCAATGATGGTACCCCTATTTCCAAGGCTTCCCATAGTATTGGGGTATCACTGTATCATCCCAATATCATCCCCATAAATTTCACCAGAAATTGAAGGAAGCGTTGGAGAGTCTGCGAGAGCTGCAATATACCAAAAAGAAACTTCCGGGATCTCACTTTCTGAAAGTCCTTCAGAGGTGATATTGATGAAGAAGGTAGGGGTCACCTGGAATTTCTATTGCCCAAGTTGGGTATCGCAGGAAGACCAGAAATCAGCATAAGTTTAGTAGTTCAATTTAAATCCTCTTTGATTTCCAATACATGGAAACATGTTGAAGCTGCAAAGCCCCTTAGGAACCAGCAAGGCTCGTTCTCTGCAGCGGCGCGCGTCCAACCTTAAAGTTAGTAGATAGTCAACGGGCAAATGGATTATTATTTGTCTGAAACTAGGGTTCCAAAAGAAACACAAAAAAATGTATTTATCATCCTTTCCCCCATCAAAGTTGCAATGTTCTACAATTCTACGGTGCTGATGATCAGTCTTGGAAGGATACCCCGCTAATATCCGCAAATTATTCAGTGTTTTTTCAAGGTTTTGGGAGCTTGAGCCGACTGTGTGAAGAATTATGTGACCATGAACCACATGTATGTATATGTATATATATATATATATTACACACCAATGTAAACCAAACAAGAATGCTAGTATTGGAATTATAAACCAACTTTGCTATCGAAGGGGACCCGGCCGGACTGACTTTGTCACCGTGGACCAACGGACTGGAAGCCCTCAGCTGTTGTGACCTCATCTTTTGATCGCTGTGTCGTAGACATTCGGACCCAAGTATTTAATATTTATAGATAGCAAACGGCCATTGATCAAAAAAAAGGTTGACAAACAAAAAGTTGACATAAATCAGTAAACAAATGGACCACGTGCTTTTCGTGAAGTTAAAATCATGCTTTACAACATTCAAATATTCAAATCAATAATCAGAATCTGCAACTGGATCAGTCATAGCAAAAAAAAGGGTTCTCTGAATAGAGTAGCCTCAATCTATGTATAATGATCATAACCATGTGGTCATTTCAGGGGTAAGCCATGCTTTTTAGCCTATTTTAAGACACACCCAGAAGGGGCATCATATGGCAATGATATCACAACGGCAAAAAGTGCTGGTTCCAGCCGCTTCAAATGCTTTCCTTTGTTCATTCTTGCAAATGTCCGCGTCTTCCAATGGCACACACACACACCCATGAAACCATGAAAGTCGATCAAACCGCTGGGGTCTTAACCCCAAAACATCCTTGGCATAGACAGAAACAAGGGGAACGTGCAATGATAACATCCCTAAGCATTCCACCCTGCAGATGTCAGTGGTTGCTGTGCTATGAAGAAGAATCATTTCAAGAAATGATTTGACCAGTCTCTACATCCGTTCAGGGCAATTAGATAAATCAATGCAACATATCCACAATCCCATTGCTAAACTAAACTTTCCAGCAAACACAATAAAGATAAAAGGCAATCCCCTTTACTTAACCATATGGTTTCTGCGGAATGTTTAATCTGAAGGGATTTGTTTTAAACAGTTTATTTCCTACTGACTCACTAAGACACTTCCGCACCACGCATTTTCGCCATTGGAAAGCTAAAAGAAATGTGGGGATCGACCAGAAAGTTTTGGCTCTTTGCCTTTGCCGACCTGATTTTCAAATCTTGAACAAATAATTGAACAGGATTGTTTCTGAAACTGGCATGTAAAACATATGGGTGTTGGCTGCTACTATAAAAGTAATTTTGTTGAACTTTGGGAGGCTTCAAGAGTTGCAAGAACTAAGGGAAAACATAGCTCAACGGTCGAGTCATTGTCTGTTACGATAAAGACTGGATGCCAGGATTACGTGATTCATTTCTGTTCCTTGGCACCAGAAATGCTGTGGCTTATCATCGCATATGAACATTTTTCCCTATCAACTCTGTTGCTCTCAACACCATAGATACAAGGCAGAGAAGACATGCCACTTCCCCCCTGGCTCTCATATACTCGTGATGGCGTGCATGAAGCAAGCCTGACGAAGATCAACAACCAGACCGGCAAAAGCGTGGCTGCGCTTACGCCACGACTGCTTCAAGAAGTGTGGCGAGTAGCGAGCCGTTCGCGCATCGAATTACACCATGCAGCAGTGAGAGAAAACCTGTTCGAGTTTGTGTCTGTACAACAGTTGACAAAACAACGCAGATCATTCATTCAGGGCATGTGTATGTGTATATGTATGTGTATAGATATTGTTCGTATGAAGCATATATATATATATATTTACAGCACACACATACAATGATATAATATGATATGATATGATACAAATATAAAATATTATAAAATGATATAAGGCAAAAATATGATAGAAGGCAAACTATAATGTATGTAATATACAAAAATAAAACACAAAACATAAAGTGATATAACATGATATAACATAACAAAATATGATATAATATAATATGATATAATATATAAACAATATCATATAACAGAAATTGATATGCTATGATACAATATAATATGATATAATATGATAAATATAATATACAATAACATATATAGCGACGGACAATCACTTAGAACGTATTTTGGATTTTTTTCTGAATATTTCACGCTTTTTGGACGTTCTAAGTGATTATTCGTCTACGTTCTAAGCACCCCACTTAGAACGTTCAAATATCAAGATTCATCACTTAGAACGTACCGGGGAATTGAACACTTAGAACGTGTCTAAATCAATGATGATAGTGGAAAGGCTTGTGAAATCTTTTATCTCTAAGTGTTGGATTCAGCAGCTAATTCCGTAGGAAGCATAGACGTAATTTCGTACCATTTGGCTTCTCCCTCCCGTATGATTTGCAAATATTGGCGATCTTTTATCTCTGGAACAGTATACCCTTTGGTGCTTTTTTGGGGTTCTGAGTTCTGATGTTCGAAGTGTTGGATTCAGCAGCTAATTCCGTAGGAAACATAGACAAAATTTCGTGCCATTTGGCTTTTCCCTCCTATATGATGTGCAAACATTGGCGATCTTTTATCTCTGGAACACTATACCTTTTGGATCCTTTTGTGCTTTTTGGGGGTTCTGTCGTTCTAAGTGTTGGATTCAGCAGCTAATTCCGTAGGAAACATAGACATAATTTCGTACCATTTGGCTTTTCCCTCCTATATGATTTGACATTGGCGATCTTTTATCTCTGGAACACTATACGTTTTGGTGCTTTTTGGGGGTTCTGTCGTTCTAAGTGTTGGATTCAGCAGCTAATTCCGTAGGAAACATAGACATAATTTCGTACCATTTGGCTTTTCCCTCCTATATGATTTGACATTGGCGATCTTTTATCTCTGGAACACTATACCTTTTGGA